AGTAGTAAAGAAGAATTCTACTACCTAACAAAAACAAAAAGAGAAGCAAATAAAGAATTATTTGGATAAAATTGAATCAAGAAAGAACAACACAAGTAAAGGGAAGGGTTTAAGAACAAAGATAAAGATGCAAGGTAACTAAGAACAATAAACCAAGACTAAACAAATAAACAAGAAGGTTAAAGACATTTGTTTTCAAACAAAAGACAAGAAATTTTTTTTTCAGAAAGTAGGAATGAATGTAAATTTGGGTGACTTAGTTCCTTTTAAGTCCTACAATTCAAAAGGTTAAAAACAAGCTTTAACTGTTCTATAATTCACCAAACACACTTCAAAGTCAATTGAAAATTTTAGCCACTCTACAAGTCACTCAAATAACCAAGCACTATCTTTGCACTTGAATTTAAGTCTTAAACAACTAACACAAACACTCCTTTTTTTTTTCAATACAATTTGATTATTATTATTTTAATTCCAACAACTTAAGTGCACAAACAGAATTTTAATTGCACTCACAAAGTTCCAAAATACAATCATAACTTATAGAAAATAGAACACCTACTTAGTTTTCCAGTGAAGTACCAATGAATCCAACTCACAAGCCAAAATTTGCACCTCTAATTAAACCTTTTGCACTTTGTTTACCCCAGCCACCACCACACTTTCTTTCATTATTCCATAAGTGTAACCCTTTCTCTCCTTGTTTCAATTGTTGCACAAAACCAAACACAACCACCTACTTAGTTTTCCAGTGAAGTACCAATGAATCCAACTCACAAGCCAAAATTTGCACCTCTAATTAAACCTTTTGCACTTTGTTTACCCCAGCCACCACCACACTTTCTTTCATTATTCCATAAGTGCAACCCTTTCTCTCCTTGTTTCAATTGTTGCACAAAACCAAACACAACCACACACATACACACACACACAACCAGTCACAAGCATTTCTAAATTCAACTCAAAACTAGCTCTAGTTAACTAGCTTTGATACCAAATGATGACGTTTCTCAATCCCCCTTAGAGAAAGGACCTAACTAGGACTAAGAACACTCAAATTAAAAGAGGAAATTAGGGTTTCTAATGTGTAGCTTGAATCCTAGAAATTGGAAAGACAAAATTATAACTTGAGCAAAGAAAACAAACAAGAACAAGAAAAGAATTATGCAACTACAAGAGAAATAACAATGGGCTGTATCTCATGTTACAAATTTTAGATTGCAGTGTTTCTAAAACAATGTGAAAGATCATGTTTTGAAATGCAATTTGGCTCAAAAATCACTGAAAAAGGCATTGTATAACAGGAGATATGATTCGGCTAAGTTGGAATGAAAATTGAGGATTAAAATGAAAATTGACATATATTTAAACCCTATAAAATAGAGAATTAGAAGAAGAAACAACATGGGATAGGCACCACAAACCTATTTGGTTGATAAGCCTAAGATGATCACCACAAGAATGTGAATTCTTAATAAGTCCTTAGAAGTAAGGAAAAACCCTAGCCTTGAGAGAAAATCTCACAAATTTGAATTTGTTTAATTTGAATTCTATCTTTTCCATTCAATTCAAGTGTTTTTAGTATAATGCAAATCAAGAGTTTGCCTAATTTAAAATCAAACAAGAGAGAAAGAAGAACACCTTTAGTACAAGTACACTAAGATGTCCTAGTGATTAGTGGAAATACACTTAGCCTCAAGTACCTAAGTTCAAGTCTTGTTATAAACACTTTATCTATCTATATATATATTAGTCATGGATAGAAAAGAAAGAAAGAAAAATAAATAAAATCTTCAATTTGAGTCATTGAGCTTATTTCCTTCAAAGTCAACAAAAACAAGCTAAGTGATAGGCTTCAACTACATGGATAATGCTTCTTGCGTTTTCTTAGCTCTGGACCTTGTCATTGGCCTGCTTAAATCTTCAAGTGGATCTTGGGCTTTTCTTGGTGCATGAGTTCCTCCACAGGCTTGGGCTCAAGCCTCCTCATTAGAGGGAGGTTCACGGTGGGTGGAAGCTTGTGATGGCTCAACAACGGAAGAGACTATGTTTCATAACGATATATAAATAGGAAACTAATGGACGCATAATAAACAGGAAATCATGAGACCCTTTCTAACCAATCATCCATAATATCAAATAAATCATTTTCATCTTTGGTAAATTTACCAAGAGCTATAGTCATAGTGATCCTCCTATTTAACTACTTCAATCATTTCCAAACACCTCATAGCATTTTTAGGATTGCAAAATTGTGTGATATATTGATTAATTATGATTCTTTTTTGATTGAGATATATGGATCCATGGGTCTATATGTCTATATAGATCCTATTCATGGATTAACGAAAATTGTGCATGCAATACTGTTGGAGGGCCAAACAATAATGTGGTGTGGGTATCTAAGAAAAAAATAGTGGTGTCACAGTGAGTTCCATGTTGATCAGGATACAGTTGAGAGGTGCTACAAGACAGTGGTAGGAAGGTTACACAGAAGAGCTTAATAGGGTGGCTGACTTCCTTTTATGAGAATCCATATTGAATGTCAAGGTCATTACCATGGTTGACGAGATGTTCTGTTAGAATCGGAGGGGGTGGTCCGGAGGATCTGGGGGAGGTTATAGCTAGGTACAAATATGACTTGTCTAAATTATTTTATACCATTAATTGGTGGCATCCTCGTATGGTGACTGTTAAATAGGGGGACGTGGGTTCGTTTGTACGACGTGTCATATCAGGCTTGGTCAGAGACATTCTTTCGAAAGATGGTGTTACTGTTGGGAGATTTTGTGTGGATGGACGATGATATGACTTCCCAAAGGTGTATGAATTTTGCAAGAGTTCACTTACAGACTCAATTACATGTGCTAATTAATAAAGATCTAAGGATTCATGTTAATAATCTCGTGTTTTCAATCTACATGGTCAAGGAACATGGGGAGAATTCTTTCAAGGAGGGTGGCAGTATCATGATTCAAATATTTCATTGCCAGAGAGTAATGACGATGGTTCATTGGATTTGGATGCTTTAAAGGATGAAAAGGCAAATGATGGTGAGAAAGTCTCTGATCTAACGGTATGAAACGCAGCAAAAAAAAAATAGTGACCAAAGATGGTGTGAAGAACACGGAGGAGGGGGAATATGGAGTGGATTATCAGAGACAACATTTATGTGATTCTGTGCCAGACACTGCACAATATAATGAGGAGTTTGAAAGTACAGAATCAAAGAACGTAGCAGATGCACGTATGAGAGAGAATTCAAATTATGAAGTGAATATAAATAATGACTTGATTTTCAATAATAATGTAGCTGTTGTGCGATTGGGTGAGGATGCGTTTGAAAATAAGGCTGACCGAGGTGAGTCTTTATTGATCGAAACTTATAATGAAGGGAATTGGTGGTACATGGGAGATGATGAAGGATTATGACAACTAGGTATTACTGATAAGGGACTAACAGGAGGCAAGGATGTAGCACAAAAAAAGTTTATTGACGAATCTGATGGCCTCATTATTGAGCCTTCTCATGGGTCAGATGAGGCTAATAATGTATTGAGTCAAGGACTAGATTCTCTTCGATCTAATGTTGTTGATGAAACAGTAATGCAAGAAAAAATTAATGTTAGGAGTGCACTTTGTAAAGCAAAGAGGAAAAAGTACGACTTCAAGTTACAGACTCAATCTACATTTATAAAAAATAATTTTATAAAAGGATAAAGCTTAAGCCAAATATTTAAGATATCTATCTTGAAAATGGCTTGAAACATGGCTTTTTAAGAATATTATTTGTACATATGAATTGGATTAATGATTCCTTGACATGAATTATTAATTCTCCTTATAGTTAACGGGCTATAGTACTTTTTATACTATGAATTTATTCTTAATAAAATGTTGATGTTTAGAGGAAAAAAATAATTAATTCATCTTTTAAAATTTTTAATTTAATAATTGCTGAGAAATTTTTAACAGTATTATAAAATAAAAAGTTATTTTATTATGAATAGGTTAATATTTTCCTTTGGAATCTCTTCCGCCCACTCCACAAACGCCTTAATTACCATGGATTTAAAATGTTTTACTGAATGCCTTCAAATCTTAAATTAAATATTAGTAACTTTTTACTATGAATTATTTAGAATTTTAATGTAATAAATGTTTAGCTTCTTATTCAGCGGTTTTTCTTTTATCATTTCTTAAATTAATATCTTTCGTTGGTCTATACGTGATTTCTAGCTTTACACATCCAATTCTCTTTTTGTATATTTTAAAGATATTCTGCAACTAATACCGAGAGTTTATTTAGGTGAATTTCTTTTAGCAAAAGTTTTTTCTTTTTTATATTGGCCTTGTTTATGGCATTAATATTTTGTATGAGTTAGAAGTATTTATTAAGCACAGACATTTCGGAGAAAAGTAGACGATTTTTATTTTTTAAAAAAGAAATATATGCATCCAGCTCTATTGCGTATACAAATAATGATATTTCTTTTTCAGCAAAATTGTCTTTTAAATGACAATTCATGACATAGAGATCATCGATGATGTGAGCATTCTTTTACATACAAATCCTGTGTCAAACTAAGCGGGCAACGTGCAACTGATGCTACTCCCACATTTTACACACACCATTTATGTTCGTAAAGTTCTAGTCAATTAATTCATTTAATTGTGGCTGATCTTATCAGGTTATTAAAGGGATGTAAAACATTAAACAGCAACAGTAATTACAATTGTAATTAATTTTGTTAATTCAAAATTGATGATTTTAAATAGGTAAGAGTTAAAGATTTTTCTTAGTATGTTCATTTTTTATATATTTTTTAGTGCAATAAATATTTAATTTCTTTTAAAAAAATCCATTTACAATTACTTGAAATCAAGTTAATAAAATTGAATAAAAACAATATAACGTGCAACATGCATTCTCTCAACTGGACGGTGCCAGGTTATGGAAATTTTTTCCAGACAATAAATGAGAATTCAGAAACCAAATAATAAAATCCAAAAAACATTTACAGACAGAGGAACCGAGGTTGAGCCTTTCATAAAGGGTTCAAAGGGAAAGGAAGAACCCAAATTTGTATACGCAACCCTTTGTTCCTTTCTCCTTTAATTCATAGCTCTGATTCTGAATTCACTCCCACACACAAACCATGGTGGCAGATGCTAAGTCCAAATCCGATATCTCTTTCGGCAAAACCTTCGCCAGCAGTGCTTTCTCTGCATGTTTCGCTGAGGTGATTTTCTTCTTCAAAAAATGCTATCTGGGTTTTTCTCATTTTCTTTTCCTTTTCTGGGAATTTTCTATTGTTTGATGATCATGTGGAAGACCCATCATTTATAGTGCTATTGTGTATTTGTATTGGCAATGGATCTGATTTGCACTATTACTACAATGGATTTCCTATTCCTAGTTCTGAGTGCTTCTTGTTTTGTTGTTTAACAAACCACGCTTGGTGGTAGAGCTCAAAATTGGATGATCAAGTGAGTGTTTAGTGTATGATTTTCAAGTGGGTACTTGTTGGCTCCAATTTGTGCTTGCTTACCATTAGTGATAGTGTGTATTTGGGTAATAGTTGGCAAACTTTAGTTTGGATAATAGTTATTTTGGTTAGTGATTTATGTTTGGAAATTTTCATCTCTAAAATAAGTGTGTTATTAACTCAATGCAAAAGGTACATTGTTTGACTTTCGCAGACTTATGTTTGGAGCAAACTTGATTATGGTTGGAAACAGCCAAACATGAATTTTCTTTTCTGACAAAGTCACGTTAGACATCACCAAATGTGCATTTTTAAACATATCCACCGCCTAACCAAACACAGGGTTAGTCTTTGTGGGATGTATAGGGATCTTTAGCTTTGTGTGTAATGATTTTATGTAAAATAAGCTCTCTTTGTAAAATTTGGAGCTGTGTATGATCAAACAAAATAAGAATTCCATTCTGAGTTTGGGATTTTCTCTTTCTGTTGACTGCTCTGAAGTGATGAAGGGTGTGCATTCCAGGCTGTTTGCTTTTTCAAGGAGCAACATGGATAAGGAGTGTTCCCTCCTTGATGATTTGTTAGTCACACAAAATCCTTGACTTGGAAATAGTAATGAACTCTGGATGTTTTATTATTTATATAACAGAATGGAACAAGTGGGAATGAGCAGAGAATGGAAGGAAAGGGAAAAAGCTATTTTTCCCCTTGCTTGGAGGATTAATAAGCAAATGTAATGGAACTCTGTTACCCTTGTGTTTCCTCCATTCATCCCCTTGAATTTCTTTCCCTTCCAAACTAGGTTTAAACTCCCAAAGAAGGAACTCGTTCCTGTTTCTCTCATTCCCATTCTATCCCCCTTTCATCCAAATACATTATGCTTATCTAGCTTTTTTTGTTTGAACTTTGGTTGCACAAAGCAATTGCATCTTTGAGAATTGAATAAGCATCCAATTTATCTCCTATGCGAAGCATCTTTTGCATTATTGAAGGTTATGGCAATGGTATTCTTTACATTTGTTGACTTTTGTCCCAAGTTTCTATCACTGGAGCTTGATTTGACTTGTTATGTATTTAAATTCTTTCTTTCTTAGTGTGTTTTGTGTGTCCTGTTCAGTTATTAGTTCTCATACTCCTTTACAACGTACTCAATTGCTGTTACTTGGTGAGATTTGTGATAAAGTTGTTGTAATTGAGGTAGGTGTGTACTATTCCTCTGGACACTGCTAAAGTGAGGCTTCAGCTTCAAAAACAAGCTGCAGCTGGTGATGTAGTCTCCTTACCTAAATATAAGGGTATGCTGGGAACAGTTGCAACCATTGCCAGGGAAGAAGGTCTTTCAGCACTCTGGAAGGGCATTGTGCCAGGGTTACATCGTCAATGTTTGTATGGAGGTTTAAGAATTGGTTTATATGAGCCTGTGAGTTTTGAATCTTGTTGCTGAAACTTGTTCATTTATTTTTGTTTATATATACTGTTTGCCTGTGTTATCTTATGCTGTGGATAATGGGTTGTTAACAGGTTAAGACTTTCTATGTGGGGCGAGACCATGTTGGAGATGTTCCATTGTCAAAGAAAATTCTTGCCGCTTTTACAACTGGTAAAGCTCAATGCTGGGAGTTGTTGGAATGATCTGTATATGTGCTATTATATGAATTTCTTCTCTAATCTATGAAATGTTTACACTTTTCCTAGCAGGAGCTTGTGTTATTTATATTACCCATTGCAATAACTCAGTGATGAATTCCTTCAATTTGTCTCGTCAACAGGTGCTGTGGCAATTGCAGTGGCAAATCCAACTGACCTTGTCAAAGTTAGACTTCAAGCTGAAGGAAAATTACCTCCTGGTGTTACCAGGCGCTACTCTGGATCTTTAAATGCTTATTCAACAATTGTGAGACAGGTTTGCGCACAAACCTCAATATAATTCATGAAAGAGAATAATGCATTTGGTTCATTTTAGTTTGTGATTATTTTTGTTTAAACCTGCACCTAACACTCAGGAAGGAGTTGGGGCTCTCTGGACTGGGCTTGGCCCCAATATAGCAAGAAATGCTATTATCAACGCTGCTGAACTAGCCAGCTATGATCAAGTGAAACAGGTGATTTAAAAGTTACTCAAGGATTGCATTATGGAGAAAACATTTGTCCTTCTTTATTTGTTGAAGTAACAGACTATTTCTTTTAATGCAGACTATTTTGAAAATTCCAGGATTCACTGACAATGTTGTAACTCATCTCCTTGCTGGTCTTGGGGCAGGGTTTTTTGCTGTCTGCATTGGTTCCCCAGTTGATGTGGTAACTTTTTGGAATTTACTAATGAAGATTCATAGTTGATTTGCCTTTTATTTTTAAATTGCCTTGGCACTTTATAGGTAGGTATTGATATTTGTTTTTCTATTTAATAAGAATTTTTCACTTGATATTCCTGATCCACCATGATGCTGATTAAAAAGAGTACAATTAGTAAAGCTTATTAAGAATTTTTGTTGACTGCTGGTCTTTTCAAGGTCCTTTGGGATGGATATCTGTATGACCTTTTTATTCTCTTCATTTTCATTTATTTGTGAAGTGATCTAGTGAGCTTCTTACTTGCCCAGTCTTACCATTCCACTAATTCTGTTGTCTTATTTTCATTCTGCTGTATATGCAGGTCAAGTCGAGAATGATGGGAGATTCTAGTTACAAAAGCACTCTTGATTGTTTCATCAAAACATTAAAGAATGATGTAAGTTGCTTTTGACTGTTACTTTTTTTGTTTATCCTCCTTATGAATTTCTACCACATTTTGCTTTAGTTATGATGACCATTAACTGTGTGAATGCTTTTTTTGTTGCATGGTGAACACATTTCTTCATAGCATTTGATCATTTCTAGTTGTAGGCAGCGGGTATAGTCCACAAGCATAGCAGGCTGAACGAACTTACTGTCACTTTTAGTTCTCTGACATAGATTTATGCATAATCATTTCTTACCCTTTCTTGTCTCTTCACTTGAACCAAATTGATTTGCTTCATCATTGTTAACACAATCTTCCCTTTTCCTTCTCTGCTTTTACATTTTTATTTAGGGGCTGCGGGGGAAGGGTTGGTTTCTTCCCTGCACATGCACAGCTTTTCTCTGTGTTTTAGGCTTAAATGTCAGAGAGTTATATTATCATTGTGTATCCTTTATCAAAACTGATTACCGATTTATCTTCTGCTTTCTAGGGACCCTTCGCCTTTTATAAAGGCTTCCTCCCAAATTTTGGACGGCTAGGATCTTGGAACGTGATCATGTTTCTAACCCTTGAACAGGTACAATTTGAATAATCTTTGTGCTACATTTTCGTTCTTCCTTTTTTTTTTTTTTTTCTGTAGCAATCCTCTGGTGGAATCTTAATTTTTTTATAGCCTGCATGTTTGTTTAGGTGAGGATGAGAAACCTCATTTGCAACAGCAGTACTTTTGTATATAATATCAACATGCTATAATATTAATAATAGTATCAGGAAAGGGGATTCCACAAAATTCTGGTAACTTCTTCCCTGCATGATTTGAGATAAAACTCTTTCCAGAATCTATATTTAAGTAAAATGAATCAAACTTCACACAAATTAAAATTAACTAATGTACCTAAATTTTTTCAAAAGCTTTCTCATTTAACTTTTTTTTATTTTTATAAATACCTATAAACTTATAAGAACTTTTTCATTAAAAACCAATACTTATCTCATTTGAAAACTTCTTATAAGCTCGAAGATGGTCTAAATTGGGCCAATATCAAGCACGAAAATTGATTGTTTTTGCACTTGCTTGCACTCCCAATATAACATTTAACTGATGAATTTGTAATTGCTTGCTCACTTCTGTCTTATTTTTATGACAGACTAAAAAGTTCGTCAAAAGTTTAGAGTCGTCATGAGCTCAATCACCTTGAGGATTTTCTGAGGGGACATGTAACTGCAAATGCAGTGGAAAATTGTAGAGGAAAAGGTCCCTATCTCGTCATTTTGCTAAATGGGATGTAGTTAAACATTGTTTTGTGAGAAAATAAGGTAAAAGTAAAATCAATGAGAATATGTTATTCATATATACTAGCGTTTTGCAATTGCCATATATTCTGAACCGACCTAGAACATGACATTCTTTTCAAATCTGGTGGGGTTCAAGCCTCAAAATCAATGTATCAAAATCAATGTATGATTCAAATATTTAAACTCAACAATATGAGAATAGTCTTGTAACTAATAGTGGTTTTGAGTTCGTTAATTGAGTAAGTAGCTACATCATCCGTCTGGAAGGAGGGCTTAATGACCTTAATAATGCTTTTTTAATTACTTATTATCGAAATAAAACAAAAATATAAATAATTTCCTGTCTAAGGAAAAATTTTGCCACATTAGTACATGTTTCGTATAAAAGTCAAATAAAATTAATTTTTTATTTTTTTTAATTAATCTAATTCGTTTAAAGGAGAGACAAAATACTATAAAATTTAAAATCAAATAAAAATAAATTAGATTAATTAAATATAATAATAAATTGTTAAATAATATTTAAAATAGAAAAATAAAAATAGTTGTATAAGATTAGTTGATTAATAATATAACAAATGATATTTAGAAAATATATAAATATGAAAATGAAAATTTTGTATTTAATATTAATTAACATAAAAAATGTAAATTCATAATTCTTTTTATGATTAAAAAACAGATTTAGATAATTATAAAAAGAATGTAAAAGTAAAAAATTGAATGTATAATAATTGAATATATACTAATTTATATTCAAATTAGAGTAGTAAATATTTAAGATTAAAAAATTGAAAAATAAATAATTTAATTAGTATTAATTAATTATGATAAAATAACAAATTTACTTATGTAATTTAAATGTTTTAAGTGATAATAATTAGTTTATAAAAAATAATTTTAATTATATAATTTAATTTATGATGAAATAACAAATATATTTATTGAATTAAATTTTTATATTGATACTAATTAGTTTAGAATAAAAAAATGTTAAATATATAATATAATTTTCAATAAAATAAAAAATTTAGTATATTTGAATTATGTTATTAGTTGAAAAAATATTTAGTAAACTTAATGAGTTATGGTAAAATAAAAGTCAGAAATAAATTTTATTGATAAAGGTCATTCATATATTTAGGATAAAAAATTGGTTTAAAAAATTGTTTTAAAAAACTACAATTATTTGAGAAATGTTAAATTATGAACAAATAGAAACTTTATCACTTAATATTTTAAATTGAATGTGAATAATTAAAATTCAATAAATTGTTAAAATTATATTTTGTATTTGAATAATGTGATTATGTAAGAACATATTATTGTATTATAGTTGACGTATGTTATTAATTTTTTTTGTATAATTAATGTTAACATTTAAAATTTTTACCATGTTATTTTGATAACTTAATTAATAGTAATTTCTATACATGAAATATGAAAAATATAATTAATATTGTACTAACAAAAAAAATTTGAATCTTTTTTTAGATGGCTTCATTTTTAGGACAGAATAGAATCATTCATCCTAGCGTTTACAGAGGATTCATGTATGTGAACATATTTGGGATGGTCGGGTTCATCTTATTTTGAAGGTTAGGAAGAGTCAATTTATACCAGCTGGTTTGGATGGTGTTCCAGAGGATATCCTTCCACATTTAGAGCTTGCAGGATTTACTAGGATTGCTCACGTATATCAGTTCCCACTAGACCTCCCATTGATCACTGCATTAGTAGAGAGATGGAGGACAGAGACACACACTTTTCATATGCCTCCAGGCGAGTGTACAATTACTTCGCAGGATATATCTGTTTTGTTAAGTTTACGGATTGATGGAAGACTTGTGATAGCACCTATTGGAGGTAAATATGCTGACATGGTTGAGGAGAGCTTAGGGATTCGACCAGAACGTGATGCTTTTGTTGGTAGCTTCTTGAAGATGAGTTGGTTAGACCAACATTTTACTCATGTTGTGATGCATGCACATAGTCCTTTATATATCACCCGATTTGCTAGGGCCTACATGTTGCGATTGATTGGAAGTTTTATGTTGAGCGACCACTCCAGCAGCAAAGTCTCAGTCAGGTACTTACTTCTACTAAAAGATTTTGCTGTCACCGGTGAATATAGTTGGGGGTCTGCAGTATTGGGAGTTTTGTATAGAGAATTATGCATGGCCACCAACATTGGGAGTTCCATCACAATTTTCTTTCCACACACAGCATGTCAGGCCACCCAACATCCGCCACAGACCCCTCAATCACCATTCATCAGCATAAAGTGTTATATCTCATGTTCGTCACCATGCATGACCCTGCCTCCAATATTATGCATATATTCTGACACCTCCACCACTTGCAACAGATTTTGTCAGTGGAACCTTATATGATACCTCATATATTTATGGAATAGATTTGAATGCTGACTTTGAAGTAACATTAGATGTTCCACCTCCAGAGGTGTGTCGTAACCCACATCGTGGAGCGAGAGATAAGCCTAGGGAGTGCATATTGACCCCACATCAACACCACGAGCGGAACGAGGATAGAGCTTGATTTACTACTTGTACATTTTGCACATGTAATATAAGACATATTTATATTTATATCTTTTAAACCTTAAGTACTTGCATATATGTGATTTAATGCTTTAGTGATTATTACAACGCCCTTACTTTAATTAATTATTTTTGCATATAAACAAAGAAAGAAGAATTTAGATAGTGAACAAATTACACAAAAAAAAAAAAAATATATATTACGACTTCATACATAATATCTTGTACACTACTCATTAAGTGGATGAGTATGACAATTACGTACATTGTGACCAATTTGATGACAATTATTACATCTTTGTCTACTTTGTGACTCAAGCCAATCTATTTCATTTCTAATACGAGTTGATTTAGGTCTTTCCTTACCTCTTATTCTTGCCTCATTAGGAATTAACTTCCACTCAGAGTGTGTAACAATATTACTCTCATGTCCCAAGGGAAACCACTGTGATGAGTATGCATTGATGACATTTTGCACAAAGTAAACTGAATCAACATATTATCAAAAGTCAATACTTACCGATGCACAAGTTGCAATGACATGTGAGTATATAAATCGATATGCTTGAAATCTTTCACATTCATAATATCTTCTGCACAAAACAAATGTCCATTTGTTACTGCCCCTTTGCGTGATAGGATTAAAGGCCTCTTTAACTTCAAATCTTGTTCTTTCTATATCATATCGTTTGACTTGATGTAAAGAAGCTTCCTATTGATGTTTTTGCATTTTTAGCATCAATTTAGAACAAAACCTCTTACTAGCATTGAGGTCATTCATTACATCTTCTCCATGCTTCACAAAATATTCAACCATTCATCCATAAGTGCATTTTACCAGAGCAGTTATAGGTAAATTTCTTACCCCCTTCAACACCTTGTTAATTGCCTCTGACAAATTCGTGGTCATGTGTCCATAAAGATGTCCTTCGTCATCGTGATTCCATGCCCATTTTTCCTTTGATATGTTATTGATCCACCTCTGTACTTCTACTGATTCTTTGCAAAATCTTTTAAACTTCTCTTCAAATACAACCTTCGAAGGTATATATAAAATAAATATATGAAAAGAGGAACACAATTGGTATAGTTAAATTATGTTACCTAATTTTGTCAGTTATTTTTTCAATTCAATGTTCTTGAATCTATGATTGAAATTGCTCGCAATATGACGAATGCAATAAACATGATATGCATTAGGAGGTTGTCATTTGATATGTGGATTTGAAATAACACTTATGATGCTTTGATGCTTATCAGATATTAAACATATTCCTGTCTTTGTTATTATGTGCACACGGATCATTGCCAAAAACCATTCCCACGCTGATAGAGTCTTTCCTTCAACTATAGCAAATTCTAGTGGTAGTACACAATTATTTTCATCTTGTGTTGTTGCAATCAACAATGTGTGACTATACTTACCATACAAAAATGTTCCATCCACCTGAATAATCGGTTTGCAAAAGTTGAATGCTTCCTTGTATTAATTATAACACCAAAATAATCATTCAAAAACTCTAAATCTGTTGTCCTCTTGATGTCCAACAACAAACGGCTTCGTTTCAATCTTATAAACAGATCCAACAACATGAAATTGCATGTACTCTAACCATTTTGGCAATATAGCATATGATTCATCCCAATCACCAAATATTCTTACAATTGCCTTCTGTGTTGCCTTCTAAGCCTTTTTGTATGAAATTTTGTATCCAAATTGAGTTGTCATCCTTTCTTGAATTAGACTTATAGGCAATGATGGTTCAAGATTAACCATACCTACACAAAATACAACATAATAGGTAAGTAACTTTATATCTCATAAGGCTTCACGAAATATGATGTTATGGAAACTTTCATAAATATAATAAAAACTTACCAATGATGCATGAACAAATCAAATCTGAATCTAGTTTGGTATGGTCTTGAGATATTGTCGGGTTGAGACACGTATGCTTACCCCCACACCTTGTTATTTTTCATTTTGTTGATTTTTTAAGCAATGATGCTCTTATTCTCTATGGACAACCATTGTTATGGTTTAAACACCTCACATGCAATTTTATTGGTTTTGATTCAACAACAAAATAACTTTGATGTATTTTTATTGCATACTGTTTTAAGGCATTTTTAACTTCATCTTTGGACTCAAATAATAAACCTACATGTAAGGGATATCCAATAACCCATGAAATATCTTCACTAATTTCTTCAACTTCAATTTCTTAGTTTGAGTGTTCCCAATTAATATAATTATAGTATGGACTTCCATTCCATAAATGTATTTTACCTACACCTGTATATAAACAGACACCCATTATTCATTATTATAAAATTTATAATTTTATCAATATACTGTTTAACTAACAATACCTCCAATATTTTCTTATCATAAATTTAAGTTTGAATCAAAATCATCATTCACATTTGTATCTGATGAGTTGTCTAATAGAATATGTCCTTCATCAACATCATCATCACCATCACTACTGACTTCATCTTCATCCTCATTCTCATCTTCATTTTCATAATTGCATAAATTTGCATATCCTTTAAAATACATACACTTATTTAATATGTTTTGCCAGTAAAAATAAATCAATATTCATAATAATTTAATTTATACTTTCTGTATCATTTATATTGACAATGTCTATAAGGTTAGGCAG